GACACTTCTTTGACCCCCAGACACTATTCTATATTTGAAAGAAGGTCTTCTAGAGAAGGTCTTAGAAGACTTTCTGGAGATCTCCTGTAAAAAGAAGGCTCTCTGTGATCTTCTACAGTGTGAGATAAAAAAAACTGCAACCAACTTCAGACTGCTGTCATTTCTAAGCTACTCGGGTTAAAACCATTAAAATTCCAAAAAGTGCAAGAATTTCCACCGCAACAGAAAGAAAATCGACTCAAAAGAGCTAAAGATTAGCTTCGCTTGGCCGAAAGTTGTGAACTGCCCAATTTGGTTTTCTCCGATGAGAAAACATTCGTTGTCCAACAGTTTGTAAACAAACAAAATGATCGTGTTATTTGCCAAAGAGGTCAACTGAAAATTTAAACCTTCAGTAGGCCACCAGAACTCAAGCGCAGGCCAAGATAATCGTGTGGGCCACCATAACAGCCGATGGTCGCCCTCCGCTCGTATTAATAATAAATAAATTCCGAATATAATCGCGAAAATATTCTGAATGGTGTATTAAAGCCTTCCAATAGGACTCAATAGAACTCAGCACCATCGCACTCAGCACGCGCCACCCAAAAATAGTTACAAAATGAGCTTCCTCGCTTCATTTTCAGCGTACAACGGCCACCAAAATCTCCGGATACTAATCCCTTGGACTATTGTGTCTGGAGTGTTAAGGAAAGCAAGGTTGGCACTAAAAAATACCAAAGCGTCGATTACCTCAAGAAAGCGTTTCGTCGAGAATGGGCCAAAATACCGCAGAGCAACATTCGGGCAGCGTGTGACGGTTTCATTGGCCGTTTGAAGGCCATAATTCGTGCCAAAGGTGACTAATTCGAACAAATCTAAGCTTATTCTAAAATTTGATGCTATTTCCGACATTTTGTTTGCTTTCATTCATTGTTTTTGTCTGGAGGTCTTTTATAAATAGAAGATCCTTTGGAGAATTTCTGGAGGTCTTCTATGCATAAAATACGGAGGTCTTCTTCTATGCATAGAAGAATATATAGAGAAACCCTCAATAGGACTTCAATACATAGAAGTCCTCACGAAAATACTTTCTGGATGTCTATGTCCCAAAATTGGGATTAAGTTATAGGATCCAAATATATTTTCTTTGCACCGATGTTTCATTTTTTTAAATTACAATTTTTGTACCCATTTTTTTGAAACATTCCAACTATATTCTAAAACCAGTAAAGAAAGTCCTAAAGTCGGTCGGGGCCGATTTTATGATACCCTACACCACTTTGCTAATTTAGTTGAGCTCCACTTAATAGTTAAAAGTTTTTATGGGAGAATTCAATCATACACGCTATGATTATAATTATAATTTAAAATTCAAAGGACTAAATATGCCGAAGCATTTGTATCTTTTAAATTGGGACTTGTATTGCCAATTTGGTGCGAAATTAATTTGAAATCGGATAAAGATATATATGGGAACTATATCCAAATCTGAACCGATCTCGATAAAATTTGGCAAAAATATTTCTTAGCTGTATTTGATATATTTCTCTGAATATCGTTGTTACGGAGTGCATATTACGGCTGCGGAGGACTAAAATAACAAATCGGATAAACAATATGTATGGGAGCTATAGCTATATCTGAACCGATTTCGATAAAATTTGGCATACTTATTTTCAGGCCTAATTTGGTTGTATGTGCAAAATTCCATACTATTCAGGCTGATATTTCACGTTTGGTGCACAATAAAAGGCAAATCGGACGAAGATATATATGGGAGCTATATCTAAATTTTTGCCGATTATCTCCAATTTCAATAGGGTTTGTCCTTGGGCCAAACAAATGTTGTTTGCAAAATTTCTTCTCAATCGGATAATAAATGCGACCTGCATTTTGTTCACAAGAATACATGGACAGACGGACGGACAGATGGACTGACATGCATAAATCAACTCAGAAAGTGATTCTATGCAGATCATCAAAAGGAACTATGGGTCTATCTCGTTTCCTTTTGCCTGTTACAAACAAATGTACAAAGACATAATACCCTCACCACCTTGTGGTGTAGGGTATAAAAATTACTCCAATCTGTGCTAATCACAAAAAAGCTCCATCCCAGACAATTAATACTTAACTATGACCACAGCTCATTTGCTGTCATTAAACACTTCGTATATAGTTCAACTATTTGACACTTATCCCCCCATCCCACATGAGTTGGGCAATTACTCCTGCAATTTATTTCGAAATGCAAAGTATCCCCTTTTTTCGTCACTCTGCATTTGCATTTCACTTGAACCGCACAAATGAATCCAATTAAATAAGTTAAGCTGGTAAACCGAGTTCCATACATATTCGGATGACAATATTCTGAAGAGAATAATAGCTAAAATAACAGTCTCTAAATGTTGATGTTGTAAAAGGAGGAACATCACTTGGCGTGGAGTGTTGTGCTGAAGTGTAAAAATAAAACAAGAAAGTTAGTTTGTCAGGATGTTGAGAACAAAAAAAGATAGATCAGACCATTTGTCAGCAGAAAAGAACCAAAAAAAATACCAGAGTTGCCATCTTCAAATATTTCATACCTGCATGGAAATCTACAAATCTGAACAATTTATGTACGGGAAATGGTGATTTGTCATTGATTTGGATATAGAAGATAGTATTCGATTTTTAGCTGGTCGCCTATTCTATAGGAGAGGGAGGGTCAGTTATGTATCAAAGACCGCTTTACAGACCTTTCATACGGGAAAACTTCATAAAAGAGCTTTCATGTATAAAATATCTCCTAAGAAAAATTTCATTGTTATATATTAATAGCTGATGGTCCTTTGGAAATACCTCTGAATTTTGAATACCTGTCGATTTATAAAATATGTGTTTTTTGGACATTATTCTTCCGATTTAGGTTTAGAAACCATGAAGTCAATACTAAACACATTTGTCTACGATGATGGTGTCAGCATCCCGGCTACTCATTTTACACTGTAATGGAAATGCCAAAGCAATACCAATTGTCCTGGAAAATAATATCATTGTGACACGAATGGTTCATTTGTCATTCGTTGTAGAAACATATGAAAGGACGCCATTCCTGCGCTTACGTCTGCAAATTTCAAATGTGTCGCAGATGAACAAAAGTGTCATCTTATTTCGAAAATATGCAGTTATTCCAAGGTATTTCAACCATCTATCATTCAACCATACCCCGGTAAAATTGGATGGAAGTAAAACTAAAAATTGCTAACTCAACAGTGTACTGTGCTAACAAGTGGTATTGTGTGTTTATTTATATCATGGTAGAGGTTACACAGGTTATCCTGGTGATAGTCTCAATCCTTGGAGATTTTATTAGCAAATCGTAATCATACCGCATACAATATTTAGTATTAGAGTGTAGATGATGCTAATTTGTTGCAACAATTTGTGCAGATATTATTTTTGTCATATGAGATACTCCATATAATTTTGTTTTTTTCATACCCTCCACAATAGTATGGAGGATATATCAAGTTTGTTATTCCGTTTGTAACACCTCGAAATATACATTTTAGACCCAACAAGGTAAATATATTCTTGATCAGCGTAAAATTACATGTCGATTTAGACGGATTTAGCGAAGTCTGTCCGTCCGTTCGCTTCCGAACGAAACAAAGTAGATTGATAAAATTTTACTCAAATATATATTATGTCTGCAGGACTTTTGGTATTGAAAATGGGCCATATGGCTTAACGTTTTGGTATAGCCCCCATATAACGGCACCTCCCGATATGCGGAATTATGATGATTTTAGCAACATTATTCACCGGAAGTGTTTCAAATTTGGTATTTGAAGTTCGTAATGGATACTACAGCCTAAGACAGAAAATTGTCCGTGCAGGTTCACATCTTCGTATAGCCTCAATATAACAGTACCTCTCGATATTCTGTATGTAGATGATTTTACCGGCATTATTCACCGGAATTGTTTCAAATGTGGCATTTGAAGTTCGTAACATATGCTACAGCCTAAGACAGAAAATTGTCTGTGCAGGTCCATGTCCTTGTATAGGCCCCATATGACAGCACTTCGGCATTTTGATGATTTCAGCGACATTATTAACCGGAATTGTTTCAAATTTGGTATTTAAAGTTCGAAATGGATGTTACAGCCTACGACAGAAATTGTCTGTGCAGGTCCATGTCTTTGTATAGTCCCCATATACCGGTACCTCCCGATATTCGTTACTTTATAGATTTTAATTCGGTATTTAATGTTCGTAATAGCTGCTATAGCCTATGACAGGAGATGGCCTATGCAGGTTCACGTCTTCCTATAGCCCCCATATAACGGTACCTCCCGATATTCGGTATTTTGATGATTTTAGCGACATTATTCACCGGAATTGTTTCAAATTTGGTGTTTAAATTTCGCAATGGATACTACAGCCGATGACAGGAGATTGCCTGTTCAGGTCCACGTCTTCGTATAGCCCCCATATATAGTAGTACCTCCCTACATTGATGATTTTAGCTACATTGTTCACCGATTTTTTTTTTTTTAAGTTTCGCATGTGATGACAAAATGCGAATCTCGAAAAAAATCGGTGAATAATGTAGCTTATGACAAAAGTTGCAGGCCCACGTCCTCGTTTAGACCCTAATATGATGGCTTTATTTGGTACTTTTAAGATTTTAATAGAATTTTAAACGGATTTTATTTTTTTGAAAATTGCCAAATTCGTTCGAAATTGTGGTGGGTATTCAAAGTTCGGCCCGGCAGCTTTTTTACTTGTTTAATTTTTTTATTATTTTTTTTTAATTAAAAAATCCTGTGGCGTACAATATGAGAAGGACGTATTAAAAATACATTTCCACAAAAACAAAATCTTCCATATCAAATGCAGACCTTTAAAACCTGACCAAGTACATCAAATAATGTTTTATCCTTTCAAAACCATAGCATAACTTATACAACATTTTTTTTTTTTTTTTTTTTTTTTTGAAACATATACTTATATACATTTTTATAACTCACCTTAATTTCATGTACAAACTCCGTTTCGTCCAGCAGATTAATGCGTACGGGCATAATACGTGAAGGTCGACAAAGGCAATGCATTTTCCTGCTGTTTGTCGTCTCACTTTTGTATTTGAATTTGAAAAACTTATTTTTTCACTGACACTTTATTTCAGAGTAATTTAACTCTGATGGCACACAATCACACATAAATGATTATTTTTTCATTAATTCAATATTCTGTAATGTATTAATTTCACATACATATTTTTGTTGTTGTTCTCTCTCGTATTCCCCAAGCACTTTTTAAACTATTTATTCATTTATTAATTTCTCACTCAAATTATAAACGTTTAATTGGATATTTAATACTTTTTAATCTTTGTTGATTTTTTCTACCCAATTATAATTCATTTATTTATCCATGGATCTGAAAATAAAGAAATAATTCAATATGTTATTTATGCAATTTTATATTGATTAATTAAATATGACGAAAAGCGTAACACTCGCCGTGGGAAATTTTAAAAAGTAGCCAAATCGAAAAGCTTTCAAATTCCTAAAATTTAAATATAACAAGTAAAAAAGCTCTACCATGTTGAAGGAACTTGAAAAAATAAATAAGCAAAGGATATAGTCGTGCGGGGTCGACCATGTGATAACCTACAACACTACAATATGTTAGAAGCCTCCTTATGTCCAAACCCATTTTGGAAGATTTCGCTTTTGAAATTATGTCACGGAACACTGACCAGATATTGCCCTTAACATTTTGATCAGGGACATTTGCCCAATATTTACCCACTCCGTCGTGCAGTTAGTTGTTGTGTTCCATTTTACAGCTGAATACAATATAATGGTCATCCAAAATGCTAGAATTCTTCCCTGTCCTTAACTCTCTTTTCAGGCGTGTCGATTGGCGTCAATTGTCTGATCTTTTTTTCGGTTTGTGGTTTATTTGAACCCCTAAATGTTTTGCCATCATCTCCAAATTTAGATTCATCTATATGATTTGCTTGTCTACGATATTTGGGTATATTCCTCAACGAAATCAGCATAAAAAAGCCAGATGTTCACCATTTGTGTATTTGGGATATCACCTGTAAGTAATGTTTACATTTTTTCACACAAAGGTAGTGGTCCATTCTACCCGCTGTACTAAACTCTTATTTCATGCGAGATTTCGTGTCCTTTGGTTTCTATTTGTGACCTTTATCAGGAACATCTTTGGTTGTTGTTAGGCCTAACCCTTCTGAGCCCAACCCTACCCTTGTGAAAATTTTCGTGAAGATCTATATATAATAACCCCAACCTGTGTTGTAAGGTGAAAAATATTACAAAATATACACTTCAATATTATAAGTCAAATTGAAAAAATCGCTGCGATAAAAAATAGAAAAAAATAAAAAATGTCACAAAATAATACGAAATCTGTATTAACATCTCTATTGGCACATTTTTATGCGAGATTTTTAGATTTTATTCTTTTATGCCAAGTGGACATTCTGAATTCACAAAATTTGTCAAAATCGGTCCAGCCATTCTTGAGATATAAGCATTCTAGCTAACATCCCCTTCCTTTGTATATACACATTGTATATATTTTTGATATATTTACTATTGGCATATACGTAACGGTCAGAATTGCCATCTTCGTATATTTGTTATTTCGCCAGGAATTAAAACATTCGCGATTTAATTGAAAATTTGTCTTTTATTTAACACAAATGTTATGGTCTATTTCACCCACTAAATATTACCCGATAATCATCAAAATTGGATGGCCTCTGCTCAGTCCTAATCTCTAGCCCCATGCTAACTTTGATCGGTCTATAATTGCGACCTGTAGAGCAACAGCAAAATCAGGATTTTTTTCAGTTTTTGGTCCATTTCAACCCCAAAATACTATGCGATCATCTCCAAAATGATTTTATTCTGGCTCTAGCCCCGCCACCATTCTAAATTTCGTGAAGATCAGGCCATAATTGCAACCTGTAGAGTGATTACAAATTAACGTGGACAGACGAACATACATAGCTAAATCGACTCAGCTCCGCGAGATAGGAAGATCAATATATACATTCCTATGTGGGAAACCAATATTTCGAGGTGTTGCGTAAATTTTGGTCCAATCAAACTTATAATACCCCCAACACATAGTGTTGTGGGCTATAAAAAAATGCAGAAAATATCTCTCAAATGAAACCCATATATGGGGCCTATACAAATACGTGGTCTTTCATAAGAAATAGTTTGTCATAGGCTGTAGTACCGATTCCGAACTTCAAATATAAAATTTTAGGTAATTCCGGTGAATAATGCCGCTAAAAGCATCAAAATACCGAATATTGGGAGGTATCGTTTTATATACGATGACGTCGAACTGCATACGCAATTCTTTGTCATAGGCTGTAGAACCCATTGCAAAATTTAAACTAATTCTGGTGAATAGTGTTACTTATATAATCAAAATAACGAATAAAGGGAGGCTATACGAAGACGTGGACCTGCATAGACAATTCTCTATCATAGGCTGTAGTATCCATTACGAACTTTATATACCAAATTTGAAAACATTTCGGTTAATAATGTCGCTAAAATCATCAAAATACCGAATATCGGGAGGTACCGTTATATATGGCAATACGAAGACGTTGACCTCCATAGACAATTTTCAGTCATAGACTGTAATATCCATTACGAACTTCAAATAACAAATTTGAAACCATCCCGGTGAAAAATGTGAAAATACTATACTATACAAAGGCGTGAACCTTCACCGACAATTTTCTGTCATAGGCTGTAGTATCGAACTTCAACGAACTTCAAATGCCAACATTTCCGGTGAATAATATCGCTTAAATCACCAAAATACGGAAAATAGGGAGGTATCATTATATGGGGGCTATGCCAAAACGATCATTTTCAGTACCAAAAGTCCTGCAGACATAGTATGCATTTGACTAAAATATAATCAACCTACTTCATTTCGTTCGGAAGCTAGAGTGATTTCCACCGACGGATAGACGGACGGACATCGCTAAATCGAATTTTATGCTTTTTAGGGTCTAAAATGTATATTTCAAGGCGTTACAAACGGAATGACAATCTTAATATACCCTCCATACTATGGTGGAAGGTATAACAATACTAAACATTAAATTTAGAAATACATCTTAAAACTCCCCCAATGATAATTAGTATGGTTTGATTTTGATAAGTCTGGCCATTGCGATACTCAAATTGGAGTTACAATAATTACGATTTTTGCAGAAATGTGGAAATCTCTCCCTCCACCTTGGAAAGGAGGGTATATTAACTTTGTCATTCCGTTTGTAACATCCTTAAATATTCGTCGTAGACCCCATAAAGTATATATATTCATAATCAGCATACAATTCTAAGTCGATTTAACGATGTCCGTCTGTCTGTCCGTCTGTCTGTTGAAATCACGATACAGCCCACATTATTTGACGTAGAGCGCCAAAATTTAGCAGAGCAATTTGTATTGTGACTAGAATGGTTGGTATTGAAAATGAGATATATCGGTCCACGTTCTGGTATAGCCCCCATATAAAGGTACCTCCCGATATTCGGTATTTTGATTATTTTTGCCACATTTTTTCACGGATTTGTCTAATGGGTTCCAGCTCCGGTAGCGAAACATTGCATGTGTGGGTCCACGATTTGGTATAGCCGCCATATAACAGTACCTCCCGATATTCGGTATTTTGATGGTTTTTGCCACATTTTTGCACTGATTTGTCTAAAAATTGGTATTTGTGGGTCGTAATGGGTCCTAGTTCGTGTGGCGAAACATTGTATGTATAGGTCCACGTTTTGGTATAGTCCCCATATAACGGTACCTCCCAATATTCGGTATTTTGATGATTTTTTGACACATTTTTTCACGAATTTCTCTGAAAATTGGTAGTTGTAGATCATAATGGGTCCCAGTTAGTGTGGCGAGTGATTGTTATTATAGGTCCACGTTTTGGTATAGCCCCCATATAACGGTACCTCCCGATATTCGGTATTTTGATAATTTTTGCCACATATTTTCGCGGATTGGTCTAAAAATTGGTATTTGTAGGTCATAATGGGTTCTAGCTCCGTTGGCGAAACTTTGCATGTGTAGGTCCACGATTTGGTATAGCCCCCATATAACGATACCTCCCAATATTCGGCATTTTAATGGTTGTTGTCACACTTCTTTTGGCCCGGCCGAACTTAATGTTATTTTACTTGTTTTAATTTACATTCTGTAAATGTTTTATTTGTATTGCACAAAAAAAAAATCCCTTCTTTCCGTTCATCTGTTATTTTGCAAAATTTTCCAAATCTCTTTTCCCCTGTTTGAATGGGCAACACCCCGACCACTTTCCAATGTTAACCTTTAATTTTTATTTTCTTGTTTATAAAAGCATTGTTGGTTTTTAATTAATTTGATTTATTATCAAAACAACAGCAAAGCTGAAACTAATTCAAAGCTTATTTGGTGTCTAGACGGGAAATCGCAAATAATAAAAATCATGTTAAATTTTCACACTACGCTGAGTCCGGCTCTTAATCTATTACAATGGATATTTAGCGGAGAACCAAGCATAGGTGGTGGGCAAAGTAGATAAAAAAAAATACAAACCTCAAGAAAACGAATAAGAAAGCCATTCCATGAATGACTAAGATCATTGACCTAAAAAGAGTATACGATGACGTTCCATACCAAAAAAAGGAATAGACAATCCATGGCGTTTTTTTTCATGGACTTCCCTGGATGGGGAAGCCACAGCGTTTATCTTTTACAAATTTTTAATTACGAAGACAAGCAATTGTAATGTGAATTTTCTTTTATTTGGTTTCTCCACATCATTTTCACTTGTTGTTGATGATGGGAAAGAAGCATATATTGTTGTATGCGAAAAAAACGAACCAAATTGCACGCAATTTCTGCAAATAAAAAATGTGCAGTGAATGCATCACAATGCATTTTGTTGCAATATAAAAACAATGTATTTTGAGGAAGGGGGGTAAAGAAATTTTGGTAAGGAATTAAAATTATATAATATAACTTCACCCTGATAAATACTAAAAATGCTCGGTTATACATTAACCTCCAAGTAAATTTCTTATGACATATTCTTTGAAGATATCTGATCTATAATCTATATTTTTTTAAATTACAATTTTTTTTAAATTAAAAAAATTTTATTTTTTTTTTAAATTATTTTTTTTTAATTTTCAATGGATATTCAAGCTTTCAGATTTTTCGTTTTCTTACTTTTCGTACTATAATCTTAAACTTTGAAACATAAGATCTGTTTTTTGCATAGTTGTTGTCTTGAAAATATATTTTGAGATAGTTCAAGCAATAACTATTATAACAATTATGCAATTATTAAAATTATTCCAATGACAGCTCATTATATTGTT